CTCTCCTCCCCCCCCCCGGGCAGGTTCCGCGCCTGAAATCCCGATCCAAATGATGTGCAAGGCCTTTACCTTACTGTTTTTCTTAAGCTCTACAAAGCAGGGGTGGGCATAAAAACTTTGCAATTTCCAGTGTGCTTGCAAAAATCTCTTTTATACCCCTTTATTCTCAGTTTTAATTACTCTTACAGATGGTTGGTATCGGGCCGTAAAAATCCAGGTGTTTTTAACCATAGTTGGCTTTGCCCACCTGTGCTCTAAAGGGTAGTGTGCCCCTCTAACCTAGTAATAGATTTGCTAGAGTATCCCTAACCTAGTAATAGACTTGCTAGAGTATCCCTATCCTAGTAATAGACTTGCTAGAGTATCCCTATCCTAGTAATAGACTTGCTAGAGTATCCCTAACCTAGTAATAGACTTGCTAGAGTATCCCTAACCTAGTAATAGACTTGCTAACTCTTCTTATGCGTAACAAATTGAACAAACTTACCTTACAAACGTAACCAGTAAATATCTTAGTGTAACTTTTACTTCAATACTTGATTTGGGATTGCACATTTTTAACAATAAATCCAACGCATCTCGGATACTTGGCTTTACTTTCAGACTAGTCTGCTAGCGTGACCCGTATATCATATCAAAACTGTACAAGGCTTTAGTCCGGTGAAATTAATTGAATGTGGCGTACCTGCTTGGTCTGCCCACCAAAGAGATCATAATTATTACTTCTCTTGAAGCAATCCAATGCAGAATTACATGGGCGTCTGTTTCATGTGATATCCCATACACAAGTCTTGTTATCACACGTTTAACATCTGTTGAACAACCGTTTTGAATATATCTGGTTGGCTTTTGTTGCAAAACGTCTTTGTAATTTACACTCAATTCCTCCACAAGATTTTATCCATTTTAATACTATACACACTGACCATCTTAAATTTATACACTTATGTTAATACTGTAGTTCCGAGAGTTTGGGATAAACTTGCTGTTGATGTCCGAGATGAACTTCTTTTTTAGAACTGATTCTTTTATCAAAACTTTAAAACTATTTTATGCCAAGTATTATTTCGATTTTAATTTTTTTGTAAATTGAACTTTTTTATCATTAGTTTTTCGCTGCAATTCTTGAATTTCAATTTTTATTGTATTACTAATGATGTAATCTTATTAACTTTTGACTAATTTTATTAATGATTTTGTACATATATATTTTTAAATATATTTCATTGATATTTTACTTGATTATTTTATGCTAATTGCATTGGCATCGGAGAGCCAAGACAGTGAATCAGTTCACTTTTTGGCAATCCTGTCTCGCCAACTGAGCATTGTTTTTTGCTCACTGTTCTTTTGTGTTTGTCAATTTTAATGTTCTTTGGACGAAATAAATAAAATGAAATGAAAGGTAGGTGAGTGAAAGTAATACGAGTTAGAACACTTTGCTTTGTGTGAGATCAAATAGTAAAATTCCAACACCAGGAGCGGATCCAAATTTTTTTTAAACTGGGGGAGGGGAGGGGGAGCATATTTTCAGAATAGATAAGCGAGTACAGCTTATTTTAATATATAACACTAATATGCATTAAAATTTTGTGGATCTGCACTTGTGGAGATACTGAACTTAACTGACGATCTTCTCCTGCCTTATAGAGTTTGAGACGAGAAAAAAAAAAACTTTCCTGAAATTCAAAGTTTAGATATAAAAGCTTTATTCAATCAAATTTAACAACTACACAAAGTTTAGATCTCTGAACCACCTGCATCAAACGGTTATCCAACAGCTGATGGGATACGTACATACGGGTACACTCACATGTATTCCACTCATGCCCCCAATGACTTGCAGCACAAAATTAATCAACTGACATTGTGACTGGCCACTCACACCTACCAAGGACCACATAAGGAAAGTCACAATTACTGATGCCCACAACATGCAGTGCAAATAGGACATCTGTATAGAGGATCCATGAGTTTACATCTAGATCTGCTTTTAAACAAGAGGAGTATCTTCTTAAATCAATATGAATTTTAATAAGGTGGTTTTTCATTGGTATTCCAACGCGTTTCGCATTTTTCCATATGAAAAGCAAGTTTATCCTACCTACAATATAAAATATACATGTTACGCATATAACTATACATGTTACGCATATAACTAAATGTGGAATATTATCATATTGTACATAATTGGCTAGAATTCGGTACAGCGCTACCAACGAAAAAACAAGGCTCACTTGGCTCGCTAGCCGCGCTGTTCTGAAGATTACAATAAGAAAATAATACTGCCTGACGAACAGACTGATGATTGCAAAAGTAATTAAATTCTGTGCTTATAATATTTAAGTGGAGGAAGAATATAATTTGGGTTAAGAACAGGAGGCGAGAAAAAAGGCGGAAAGTGAGGCATAAAAGCATAGATTACCCATATTTATCCACAGTGAGATGCAACAATATAAAACTTAAGCAATGAACAATGAAAAACAATTATCTGAAATAGTGGTTCGAAAAGGTAAAAAATTTAAATGAAAACAACTTCACCTCATCATGATATATTAATTGCAAACAAATTAAATCTAATATTTAAGTCATTTATTAAAATAAAAAATGTACATACAATTTGTTCTTCCAGATTTTGTTGTACACCAAAGCAGAGTTTTTGCCTCATACACTTCATTTGACTCGGACAGTCTTCTTTGGTGTTAATTCTCAGGGAATGTTTTTATTACAATCACCAGTATTTAATTGCTTTTTCTGGGTTATCAACAATTACAATATTAGCCACAATCATTATCTTCCATAAACCTGTTATATAAATATATCAACAATTTTAATTAATTGTATCTCTTACATCCATTCACTGTAAATCATTTTTATTTTGCCTGGTTTTTTAGTGTAAAAAAACACTTTTAATATCACGAAGGTCCTATGCCCTCTATACACAAGCTAACGTTTGCTATTTTTTGACAGCTTGCATCTTCCTATTGAGGTGGTACTCTCATATTTTTCAGTGAACAGGGTCAGCAAATTCATCCTAATGCTAGATGAGAATGTAAAAATCCTGAACACTTCATCCCAGTGATTGGCTAGGATGCAGCCTCAATTATACATAGACATGCTTGCTCACTGTTCAATTGTACTTATGCCTGCTACACATGAACACATGTGAGATTATTACATGTGATTACCACATACTTAACTGTCACATTAACATTATGTTACAATCACATCATCATGTGACTACACATGAACACATGTGTGATTATCATGTAAACATCTAATACTATCACATAATACATATACTGTATGACAATCTCATCCTGTATATACATGACTATCACATGCTCATGTGTGACTATCACATGAACAGATGGGACCATCACATGTGTGACTGCCAATTCAAAATCGTTCTAATCATAATTCATGCAGTGAGTTCGAGCATGTAGCTTCTTGCCAGCAATCTCTGCTCCTCTAACCCATAATCCTCGGGCATTGGCAACTTGCCAACATGATGGGCCAGTAATCGAGAAGGGATTCTGTCGCTATCATCAGTTGATTCATTCTGCAAATTAAATATTGATAATCAATCGCATTAATCCATGTAACAAATATTGGAAAAATGATTCAGCATTTACACTAATAAATATTCAATGATACACATGAATTATTTATTATTAACTAATGAATTATTCATGATATATATGTGCAAATGGACAGTTATAAATTATCCATATCTAAAGTCAATCATCAATCATTTCATTTTCATCAATGAATACAAAGCAATACAAATCGATTATTCATTAGAAAACCTAAATGAAAAAATCAGATGTTTGAGGAAGATGAATATATTTTTTGGTATTAAATATCTTGAGTGTTGGTAAATAATGGAAAAAACTGAAAAACTCCACAAGAATTTAATCAAGAAATTAAAAAGCTCATTAAAACAATTATTATTTTACTGATTCAACCAAGTGTCTAGACACCTCCTGGAATCCAAAGTTGAAAAAAAGCCTCTTTTAAGGGTTGGTTGAAAGAGCTTTCTTGAAGTGGAGTCCTTCTGGTAGAAAATTGGGCAGCATACTAAAAGACAATCCTTTACTCTTTTTCAAAGAGTGTACTGCACTCTTGAACATACGCAAGGGCAACATTGAACATTAGACGAACAGCTTGAACAAGAATCCATAAAATGGGGAGGCTATTGGAACTTGCAATTTAGCTCTCCAGTTGAAACAAGGAGAACAGCAGATGGTCTTAAACAGGGTACTAAAGTTATGCAAAGAACTACATGATTTAGTGGCTACTATCATATTAGATGAATGAGCCAAGCTGTTCTTATCTTTATGCCATAAGGCATAGTTACCAAAGACATATGTACATTGGAAATATACCTGTAGACGTAGCACCACTTTCATCATGTTGGCCAATTTTTTAGACATCTCAGACCGGCACAGACGATCCTTCGCCGACCTGCACTGCAGGCTGACGACTCGACTACACAGTGAGGCAAGTTGAGGATGCAGCTTCTCTAGATCAAACGCACTACCGCCGCCATGTTGGAGCTCATGTAGTTTTTCGAGTATTAGGATAAAATCAAGAAAAACTAGTCCGTTAGTGCTCCAATCCTGAATGGAACTGGACCTATCGTCAGGAGAAAGTTCACACAGAAACTCCTTTAAGTAGGTAAAGTTTTCTGTAAAATAGAAAATGGATTTATATTTTAGTTTATTGATAATAATCATAAAAATATTCATAAAATGAATAATTACAACACCAATATTACTAATAATAAAAACAAAATTAATAATATTAAGTACTTCAAAAGTAATACAAATTATTAATTGAAAATTAAATTTAGCTTCTTTATACTTGCAGTTGCGTGTCTAGGAACCCTAAAATTGCGGGAGGCTGACGGGGGCACAAAGTGGTGAAGTGGAGGTAGGATTGATGATTAGGTGAGGGGGAACTAGCTCACAAAATAAAATGATAAATAAATGACTTGAGCATGATCCTTTGGGGGTGACTGGGGGAAGTATTTTAGGGGGGGGGAAAGAGTGCACCCCTCCCCATAGGTACACCACTGTATACTTGGTAACCTGTTCTGTAAAAACTCCCATTTATTCCACAATTAAGTTCTACTTATGATTTATAACCTAAGACTCATATTCAGGCTAATGATGTGAAGTTGTTTTTAAGTAGCGAGAAAAAATCACACAAATTGAGCCCAGGACCATGGGAATGAAAATCAAGCATCTTAACCACCAAAACCATTCAATTCCACTCTAACAATACCATAGCACACTAATCTCAATGCCATTGTCAATAATAAGGGAAGGGCTGCTAAGACGAAATTCAAAAGGAAAAAACAGCTTAAGTCAAAAATGGTAAACGCTTCTACTACTATTTTCTAAAACATAAGAACCTGAAATTTGTTTAATTATTGAAGCCTCAACTCTTGAAAATGAAGGTTATAAACTTCAGATCTATGCTACAAATTCACTACAAAACCTTTTTCGATTATTACAGTACTTGAAAAAGGTTGTTACCATCGATAAACGCATCGGCAGCGAGTTGACACATGACTATCTTATGACACTCGTTCCAGCAGCCAGCCTTCAGAAGATGGTACGCATGGTCATGGTGGCGCCCTTCGTACTTCGCCCGCAGAGCCTACAAATTAAAGTAATAAATGTACATTTTCACGCAACAGCAACTCATTATTAAAACTATGCACTTCTTTGTAAAGAAAACCAATAAAAATATATACACTATCACATTTTTTGTTTAAAAAGCCCTTTTTAAAATAGACTTTTCGGTTCACCATGTATATTGTCAGTTGATCTGTTTGTATAATTCGCATTTATAAAGTTACCCCGCATAGGAAGAATATCCAGGTTGTTTTTGTTGAGCTAAAAGCTGAATGCGGTATTGTGCATAATGAAAACTCCATCACAATTGCAAATTGTGCATGACTAATTCTGCAGCAAACGTCCAAGGAAAAATGAAGCACAAGGAAGAAGATGCTATATATTTCATTTCATTTATTTATTTGACGTCAAATGGTCCAGGAGTTGCATCAGCAACAATGCACCATAACACGAATGTGTCTGCAACCCCTGTACAAACAACAGATTACATTGTTAAAATTCAGATATTTACATATTCAATAAAAAACAATTCAAAGACCAACAAATAGAAAGGTCCAGTAAAATAGAAGCGAATAAAATGATGAATAAAATATGATTATAAAAAAAAAATCGCATTAAAAACAACTGATTGTAAAGTACCTTAGCTTCATGTAACCATCTTGCTGGTACCTGCAACTCCTCCAGAAGGAAACGTTCTTTCCTGCTCGTTTCTTCGCTTCTTTTTAAGGTACACTGACGACATAACAACTTCTTGACAGATAGCTCGCGCCTGAAAATAAACAAGTGAGATAGATGACATGTTTTTATAAAAGCCTTTAGCTCTGTCCACACTATCAAATTTTCATTAACAAAAAAACTGTTGTATGCCCATATATAGTCATGATGTGCCTATATATGGTCATGATGTGCCTATATATGGTCATGATGTGCCTATATATGGTCATGATGTGCCTGTATATGGTCATGATGTGATGTCATCATGACCATATTTAGGCATGTCATATGTTTTTTCAAATAAAATGTTACAGTCTGGACAAGGCTTACGGACCTTTCTCAGAATGTTTCCATCTCTCTTATCAATCATTTATCAACCGCATTGTGGTACAATATAGCCTGGTTCTCACAAGAGCCCTAGTATCCAGATCAGTTGCTAACCGTTAGCGGTATCCGGATACCGCTAACGGTTAGCAAGCGCTATCGGTTAGCACGTTGAGCTCGTTTCTATCATCAACCAATCACACGTACGCGTTTACAATTTCCAGTTTCTTATTGGCCAGTGATTCGATCATCATATTCTTGGTACCCGGATCGGGATCTTCTCGTATGGACGCACGGCAGCTAACGGTTAGCAAGATCCCGATCATGATAACCGTTAGCTGCCGTGTGAGAACATAGCATAAGTCTGGCCATGGAACCTATTACCTAGTGTAGCTTCAAAGGCCTTGTTTAACCTTTGTCCACACTATCAAATTTTATGTCACAAAAAAATGTGATATGCCCATATTTGGGTGTAATATGACATCATCAAGCCCATATATGAGCACATCACACAAAATCGTCACATAAATAGTGCGGACAGAGTTTAAGGTCTGTCCACATTATCAAATCTTACCCACACATGGGCACATCAAGCAAATTTTTATAGTGTGGAAAAAATTTTAGGGTTTGAAAATAATACAAGTCATCTAAGTTGCAACTCTACTCACCTCCGATCGCTTGGAATGTGTAGTAGTACGAACACAGCCCAATGCCACAGTCCAAGCGCTTCAAGTTGAGCGGCGTAGCTCGTGTGCAACGTACACATATCCTGCTGCGATATATGTGAGTAGTGTAGAGCTTCCAAGACTTGCGATAAATGCCAACTAAAAAAAAAAACATTAATAATTTTAAGAAGTTACTGTCATCTGAAAATGTAAAAAAATAACAAATAATTCAAATTGACGGCAAATCAACATGCATGGAGAATCCCCAAATTAGTTCGTATGTACATGTAATGTATTTTGTAAAGTTAACAAAGCAGTAACAAACAACCTTGCTCAAGTTGTATGTTTTCATGGCCCGAGTAGAGTGAAAAGAAAAAAAAAAAAAGAAAAGTTAACACAGTGATTTAGTTATATATTGAATGATTCAAATACATACCAACTTAAATGACATTTATTAACAAACAGTAATAGAATTCAGCACCTATTTACCGACAACAAAACTCCTTGGTCAATGCGACCCAATTCTGGGGTTTCCCATGTGCGTTGATTTGAAAAAAATTCAGCAACACTATTTACTGAAATTAGGTCTCACCTTAGTCTGTAGTCCATCGGATAGCATGTGTAAGATGTAGGCGCTAGCGTACTGTCCATACGATGCGATTTGATGCTATAGATCTTCAGTAAATGATAGCAGGTATCCGTCACCAAGTCTTCGCAATCCTCAGTGTTATCAACCACATACGAATGTTTATCCTCGATGTATGATGGGCGCGGCGGATTACAGTAGTGACCCAGATCGGTATTTCCCTGAAAACAAAAAAGATAGATTCTTTGAAAATTGAAAGTTCAACCAGAAAATCGGATATATTTTTTGTCAAATATATGATACACGTAGGCTGCCGGCACCTTGACCTCTGACGATTAGTGCCAAAAATTACTTACAAAAACGTGATGCAATAATGACAAAATTATTATTATTGTTTACATATTTAAACTGGACTCTAGAACTAGGCTTGTGTATATATTGTGTCTATTTAACATATTTGAACCTTTGTCAATCTAAAGTCGATGGTATGTCTTGGTCCCCGACCTTTTTATGTTCACTTGGATAGGCTTATCTTCATAAGACTTCAATGAATGGATAACTTGTTTGAAGCAAGAAACCAAGTTGTCTTTACCAAGTACCACTCTTCTATTTTATTCGTGTGGGAAACTTTACAATAAGGTTACAATGAGTATATACACCACACCACAAAACTTAAATACTTCAATAAAAACTGCACTAAGAAACACATACTCTGTGTAGTATAAAGCATATAAAACCCTAGAAAATCGACGAGCAAAATATAAAACCCACAAAATAAATCGTAAAAATATCAAAATTTGTTAAAAATTTTACAATTTTGCAGAAACTAAAATATTTAATTGACTATAAAAACATAATTTTAAAAATAGAGATTAAGCCTATTGCTGTATTCATATTGTGCTGTAATATTCTGTATTGTATTAAATAAATCAGTAGTGATGCTGAGTGAGATACTTACCTGGATAAATCAATAAATGCCTAAGTTTCCTTTGGAACTTACCCCTCGAGAAAAGAAAAATAATGGACGCGCCCTAGCTAGCCTATATACGCCCTGCGTGAATAAACAATATCCTTGTTTCCTTCTCACTTTTGTCTATTATAGACGTGTGTTTGTAGTGTTTCCCGTAGCCATGTCCTTGCGGAAGCCTACCCGTTCGATTTGTGGTGGGCTTAGGGCTAGCCTACGCAATGATAAGCACCCTGGTTGCCCGGCGTGTCACTCTTGCGGGCAGGGCGCGCCGTGTGATATTTGCAAGGCCTGGACTCCTGCAAGGTTCCGGGTTGCTGTGCTTTGGTTGAAAGTAAGTTGAACAAAATTTGTATGAAATTCATTATTATTATCGTTATTTATAGCATTTTCATTGATTTTTTACAATTCCATGTATGCATGCAGAGAAAAAGCAATCACATTGCTAATTAGACATTTACGCCAATGCTTGGTATTTGAAGTTCCAGCTAGCTGAAAGATTTTTAGGTTAAAGGGCATGCTGGACATATATGGTCAATAATCACCCTACCTTGACCCCCTTTTCATATTCTGCCAGTGCTTCAGAAATGGATGCAGTTGGAGCACAATAGTACCTGCAAAATATAACAATTACAACATTTCATCAAACTGTACAGTACATTTTGAATGATTTAAAATAAAATATACTTAAAGGTAAAAAGAGTTTTTTTTTCATTACATCTATTCAGATCTATCTTTAATTAGTTTACAAGATAAAGTTTGGTTTCCAGGCTGTAATTTATTATCACAAGCACAATTTTGAAATGAAATGAGACGTTGTGTGTTGACGTTTTTTTTAAAAGCGACCTAGAAAGATGATATTTTTTTCTAGTGGGGATAGCGCAAAAGTACTATATCTTTGGTTACAGTAGCTTTCACTAACATCACTCATCAAGGGGAAAAATCATAATGGCCTATATCTATCTTCATAAAAAATTGCCAAAAAACAACTTTAAAGTTGATTCTATTACTAATGACATATCAAAAATCCCCTCTAGAAAAAAATATCATCTTTCTAGGTCCTTTTTAAGTGTAAACAAGGAAACCGATGCAAACAAGTTCCAACACTTATCACTGATTATCTTACCACAAATGAATGGCTAACGCTCTCTTCCAATCCATTTCTTCGCATGTGTTGATAACACCAACGGATGAGGGCCACACAAGCTGCCCGCCTAGCATTGCATAAACAGACAAATGCTCCTTGCTGATGTAACAGTCAGCCTAAAAAAAATACAATAAACATCACTTTAATTCTTTGTTTACTTTTTTCTTTGGTGTTAAAACACACCAATGACAACCCATGATAGTCATTTCAGCCTCTAGCTAGCGTGCAATGATGGAATGAGCTAAATGCCAAAGTTCATACTACATTCGTTTTAAACTCATATCTTATAATTTTAATGTATATATTATAAATATTATGTTAATTATATTGATATTATTTTGATATAAATTAATTTGCCATTTAAACTGAAGGCACTATATAAATCTATCATTATGACTGTCGTCATCAATATCATTATCATCGTTATTATTATTCTTACTTTCACTTGATTCCAGTACTTCAGTTGCTCAGTGATTAACTGCTTTGTTCTTTCACAACCTTCTGCCTGAGAGGTCAACATGGCTAGCCTATGTTCCCCAGCCTCTTGGGCCAGTTTGCTAGCCTCTGCAACCAGACCACCACTGAGTAAGGCCAAAACACCACGTACATTGCCATTCTCCTGATTATATAAACACAAACAAAAAAAAATTCTTAAAAAAACTTGTTTTCTTTCAGCCTTTACTCTCAACCTTGAGGTCAGGGTTCAAAATCTCACTCGGAAAGACAATATACAAAATAAAATCACACTCGATAATATCCTGAAATACTACTGGATTATTTTCAACTTGCCTGATATTTATAGTCTTGTACTTCTTTTCTGACCTGCTTACTCACTGCTGATACAAACCACTGGGTCACAGCACGTCTTCTGGCTTTCTGTCTTGCATATCCATCAGGGGTCATGTCTACAACATACAGTTGTAAAAGTTTAAAAAGGTGTTTGGTGTGGCGGAATTATGTGAGAGCAGCAATTTTTCAAGATGCCTATTTGATCATTTATAGTACATGTGTATGTAAGTGTGTTTATGTATATGTATGTTTTCAAGTCTGTGAAGATTTTATTCTTTTTTGGGAATACACATACAAAGAAGATGGACAGATAGGTTAGGTTTAATTATTTCAAATTAACAAGACATTTTGGAGACTTAGAAAATGAATCACTCAGAGCTTAAGCCTCTTCTTCACGGAATACTAATAAGAATGACATGACCTACCTTCCTCATTTTCATCAACATCTGGTAGGCGGCCCCAGAGGGCGACACACAAATCCCAAATACTTTTAGTATGCTCAAGCTCTCCAACATCTTTGGATAGATTTTTATGCAAATCTACAGCAGAAACCTTTGAATATTCATGAAGTGCTGTGACCCCAGGCTCGGGGGCAAATGCTGGACAGGTGGAACTGTTGTTTGACCTGACACTATTTTTGAGCTGGACAATCAGAGAACGTTCATGTAAATCCTATTTAGAAGGAAAAATATCTCAATTAGAATTACTCCTTTTATGTAAGCAAGTTTATGACAAAGGTTTAAGTTTAGAAGGTCCTTAAAAATCCAGTAATTCTTGTCAATACGTACTAATATCTTATTGTCTTTTGGTTTCAAATGTTCACCAACATGAACTCTTTCGATGGAAACACTAAACGGAGATGACGTCATTTGCTGCTGCTCTGATAAGCCTGATAGATAACCAAATCCGACTGGCTCCACCTTAGGCACTGTCCAATTAAAAAACATTTTCTAAAATTATTTATGGTATAGAAAGTCCAATATTGAAGATTTTGTTAAAACTTCATATACAAGTAGAATACATAATACTACCTAAGTATTTGAGATAACCTTTAAATAATTCATCTCTTACATAAATTGCAAGATGTTAAACATATGGTAAATTGTTTACTAAAAAAACATCTGGGAATCTGTTTGAATAATATATTACAATTTAGTGGAAGAGCATCATCGTTAATAATTTGTTCTTTTTTAATTGCAATCTACACTGATGTTTTTTACACCTGTGGCAATAATTGTACTTAATTCATTATAAATGGCAACAATATTAATGTGATCAGAGATAATGAAACTTTGCCAGCAAATTGAATGTCCATAATAAACATACATGCATTTAATAAAAATTTCCTAACTCCATGAAACAAAAATTTTAAGCAATAAGCTGTAAAAAAAATGATTGAAGCAACTACACTAACCATGAATATAATGAATTTCATTTATGTAGCAATTTTTTTTCTTGCTAAAAGGTGCACCCTGTATTTATAAAATAACACGGCCCTTGTAAAAAGTCATAATATAATTGCCATAAATTACTCTCCAGAACAAGCATACCAAAACATACATATTTCTTCTTAAATAATCACCCCTTCACTATAAAAAAAAATTCAAACAATGTTCTTGATAGAAATGTGTTTTTGATTTCCATTTCTCACAATATGAAAAATATTTACAGGTATATATATCATCACTCTACATAAAAAAGTCTTTCTTTAATAAATTCTTCTCAAAATTTTTTGGAGCATTTGTTTACATAAATACAGAAATGCTTCATAAAAACAGAGTAATGTTGTGATAACTAAACGCCTTTAATGCTCACCTTTGACCTTTTGACCTAATGGCTTGCCAGAATGAACCAGTGTCCAATTTGGCCCGAAATTTGCTCTAAATGACCGGCCCATCATGAGCGATGCATCTGAACAGTAATTTGACTTGCCACTGACAACCGAGTCTTTTAACGGGACTAGCATGGGCTGCCGTCTTGCTCCGACAAGCCTAGGGCCTTTCTCGTCAGGTAGGTAGCCGCTCGGTATTCGTAAGGATTGTGGAAGGGGCGGTAACAATGGTTGAACAGGGTACTTGGAAGTCGCAAACAGACCTACAGAAAAAAAGCTTACAATTATGTTTTTGAAGTTTATATGAAATGTATATTGCAGTGTGGGCCGAGAATAAATCATTACAATTACTAAACTATTTAAGAATTTATTAATAATCATCAAACTAATTGTTAAACTTAATTAAACTAAACTAAAACCAAAAATGTTGGATTGGACATTTGTACATTTGTTTTTGGTTTATTTTCTTCTCTGTTGTTGTTAAGCGCCTTGAGGTTGTGACAATGTGGGGCGCTATATAAATACAGAATCATTATTATTTATTATCATATAAAATGCCCATTTTTATTGTGAGTGTATTTCATCATTCCAAGAGCAATTATGATTATCTTAAACAGTGAAAGTTTATATATATATATATATACCTGGAATAAATGAATCTCGTTTGTATCTTTCCTCCTTAATAGTGTCATAAGAGGGTGACATTTGTCCATTGATGAACTTAGCAGGACTGGAGGGCTGCACAGGTTTAACGAACCTTGATCGATAGCCAAAGCCTGCGGTAATAAACAAAGCATGCTAATTAATTTCTTATATAATAAATAAATCAATCTTATTAACTTCAAACATTTTTGGGCTCTTACTTTCTAAGGTAATATAATTTGTAGTAGAATAAAGCTTTCTATCAAAACATCACCATTATTTCAGCACATTTTAAGATTAATCTCAAAGGATTACTTAAGTGTTCAAAGCATTGGATTTTAAAACTAGATATATATATATATATAATATATTATATATATACGACTATATACTATCATGGGGGAAATGATAACAATGGAAAGGGTTAGAAATAATACCTTAAGGCAAAAATACTGCCGCTAAGGGGAAATTTTAACAACGTTAAGAAGAAATATAGACATATATGTATATATATATAAATCAAGATAGCCATTTTAAATATAATGCATTATACAAACCTTTGTCATCATTATTGGGCTCTTCCACTTTAGGTAAAGGAGAGTGCAGAAATAAACCAGATTTTGGTGCATCTAAAATAAAACAAATCATTAATTATTTTACTGATATACTTCTGGTCTAATGATGTTTAACCAGAACATACAAAAAAGATCTACTCCTAGAGCTCTTCATCGGAGCTAAAAACTACTACAAACACAGCATACCATAGCCATTAATGCCGTTATCCATTTGACGTCCTGAACTGTCGTCATCATCATCATCCATGGCAAAGAAGGATGCCTTCATCACCTGCATCCGGTGAGTACTGATGCCTAAGGTGTTGGCAAGGTCTGATGTAGTCACAGGTTCCAAGACCTCCTCAACCTTCTCTGGTTCAGCAGGAGGCACTGCAAATAAAAGATAAATCATAAACCAAAATACATTCGTTGGGATGATCCATAACAATTTAATAGACGTTCACTAAGCTCACTTTTTGATTACCATAGTTGATCATTTTCAGAATATATTTGACAATATTTATGGCAATAAATTATTTTCTGCTGTCCCCTCTGGAATGCCCAACCCATTTAAAAACAAACTCTACAACACTCTCTCAAAGAATTTCTTAAAATCTATACATTCAACCAGTGGAGACAACAGGATTTAATACTCAATAGGTGGGAGGGGGGTGTCTAGCATAAATGTTCAATATATAAATACCGTGGCACTTACATATTTTTCTTATGGCTTCAACTCAGTGTTATTAAATCAGCATTTACTTGAAAGATGCACTTTTTTTTATCAGTTTCTCTTAACATCAAAATTCCAGCCAAGGCTGAATTACATGGTATGCAATAGATATTAAAAAGTTTCAAACCAATCATTAGCATAAGAATTGAAAAATTGAAGTAAAAGTAACATTTGTTGCAATGTCAGTATTATATAATTTGTGAGAGATCGGTAATTATATAGTATTCCAAAATACAAAACATTGAAGCACTTTACGTACATACTCTCAATTAACTTAGCGCTCTGACATTATTCAAATAAAATATATCTATTAAATGTTACAATGTTTATTTGAGGGCTGCTCTCGGTGAAAGAAAAAAAAATCATGTTTGGTGCAGTGCTTATTCAGAAATGTTCTTAAATTGGAACATGTAGGCTGTGGAGTAGAATTGGACTCAGTTGTAAAAACAAAACCTTGTTTTTACATCCTTTCATCTGGAAATTCTGAAATTAGAAGGTTATTAGGCAAATGTTGCACAAGCAGTGACATCAGAAGGCCAAGGTTTATGGGTCAGCAACTTTATTTTGCCCAAACATGTAAGTATTTCCCTGTTTGGAATATTCTGCACATACTCTTATCCTGAACGTCAAGACATTCTAAACAAAGAACAGTTCTTTTCAGAACTATCTAGAACTATCTACATGGTGTACTGCAAGCATTAATATATATTATTACTTCGCCATGCAAACCTTCCAACAAAACATTATTTTTATTGTAATATAATCCTAGGTCAAATTCTAAGGTTCATTGATCAATCAGCCCATACAATTTGGTTGGGATAATCCTTAATCACATGGATAAAATATATGGATTACATCTTAACTACTACGATAGAACTCCACAATAACAGAGATAATGGAAATAACAGGGAAATAAATCGGGGTATGTAAGTTTGTAATAATATAAAGGAATTAGCATACGGTTCAACAGGATACCGGGCTCTATCTTTATTTTCCCTTTAACAATAGACTACAACCATATAAAATATAATGAGCAAAGCAAGTGAAGAAAAGAAACAATGGATGCCTAAAGTCTAAAGAAATTATTTCAATGTATTTTAAAAGTATCTAGGGTATTAAGGTAAGCCTTTAAGTAAACCTAGCAGTATAAAAATACTTTTCACTTATCCTGTCTTATATTCTTGGACATTTTTGTATATTGAAAAACGATATTAAGATAAACTATTTGTGAAAATGCACATACATAAATTATAAAATGTAAACTTTATTACGACAATACACAACATAATCAACAAAATACAAAAGCAACATATAATTTTTATATAATTATTAATTATGTAATCATTGTAATCATATTATACAAATATAATAACATAATAATCAACATTATAATTATAAAATTGTAAAAAAGTAACTATATCACAGCAGTTTTAGGTACAAAAATTTTAAAAAGTTATAATTTACAACATTCCACAACATACTTAAAATAAGATCACTCACCACTGAAAAGACGTTCATTTGTAAGGCCATCGCCTCCTAGGCCCCTAAAGGGTGTGTTATCCTCTGGATACTTCACGTCACTGTCGTCATGATCAATCCGCATCTGTTCCTCCTCCACTGCCGGCTCGCCGTTCATGGAAGGGGTTTGGCTTGGCTTCTTTGTCTGAAGCTGCTGTTTTAACTGCGGTTTTGGTGGCACGCTCTTTTTAGCAAACTTATATGGAGAAAGAGTTGTGAAGAATACATACATTGAATGGTATGACAATAATATTTTAAGATTCTTGGACTATATTTTCCAGCAGTAGCTTCAAACTTGGCGCGAGACTTTTTTGAACTGAAATGATGATAATGATGACTATGACGATGATGATGATTTAAAATTTTAAACATGCATGAATTTATATAGTACAAAGTGGTAACACAATGAACATAATTTTAAGTGAAAATGATGGCAACAATGATGGTAAGAAATACATTAATGATGATGATGATAAGGAAGATAATGAAGACGCCATTGATGATGAGGAGGTGGAGAATGAACATGTTTAAGATCATAAATGAAGACGAGGAGTATGATGATCATAATCATCATGATTAAGAAATTGATGATGATGATTATAAAGATATTGATGGTAATACAGGCAACAATGATAGTGAAGAAGATAGTGTAAACGATTATGCTTTTTTTTTATGATATTGATGATGAAGGTGATGATGATGATGGTTGAAGTGATGATGATGATGACAGTAATGAATACTACTGAGTTGATGATGCTAATAACTACTATGTCTACCTACCTGTTTGGTTTGTGGTTTCTGAGTTGTCTTCAACTTTTTTGGATCCTTGACTGTAGGGTCCTGCTCATCCTCATCACTATCTGACAACCCATACTTTGAGAAATGTTCAACCTAGAAAAATAAAGTAAAAAAAGAGCACATTCAGTAAGGAATTCATGAATTCCTATTTGACGTATTTTCGAGCGGTAAAGAAATGACTAGGAATCCCTCTTTGACATATAAAATACAAACACAGGTCACAATGTTGTAACGCAACTCTCAAATAAACTTTTATTCTGTATAAACTCCAACAAGAATCCGGTATCAAAATAACACAACATTCACATAAGCATGTGTTTCAAAAAAAGAGTACCCAGAAAGATAAAACTGTCAGCTTATACACCCTAGCTGTACAACTCCAGAGCATTCAAGAGCATTCGATATTGCCCAAGTTCCTCATTGGTCACCTTACATCATAATTAACCAATAGGTTTATTGCCTCTATAGTAACCAAGATTCCAGAAGCTTCCAAATATTACTCTTGGATTCTACATGGTGTCATGTGTTCCTATAATTACCAATGTGGTTTGCACTGTTTATTTTTCAATTAAATATTATTCTAGAATTATCTATGTAATAAATATGTTAAAATAAGTCAAGGAATGGTAATTTATTACAGGCACTCAATGAAATTATGCATAAAGAAAGTTCTTAAAATATTTATATCTACATAAAATTTGCACATATTTCTTATATGACTACGAACTCTCGTTTATTTAGATTTGTCATATCATGAAAACAGGTCATGTGATCAAAATGAGGCATGTTTTCAAGACCGAGATTGATTTTATATGATTTGTAGTCTCCTGCAGAAGTTCACTTGAACCAGTGGCGGCTCTAGGATATATTTTCTGGGGGACTTAAGCCCCTGCTTCCCCCTGCTGGCACTGCCACTGACTGGTCAATGCCGCTGACTGGTCAATGAAGTATATTTTGTTAGTCTTAAGACGGGCACTCATTGTGTCGTACTACTTACGGCCCTGTGAACGCTAGACGACAGGACTCTGTCAGCTGGAATTCGGGGGTCTGAAGGGGTCATCATTAAAACGATTTGTTGCCTGCGAGCTGTGGCATTGCACTCCCCATAGAATCTCGTCGGCCAAAGAAGCGTCAGAGAAGTGCTACCTGTCCTTTTACTGAAGAGATGTCGCATGATCAATATTTGTCAAGAACCGCAAGCCTTGTCTTGAGTTATAAGACAAGTCAAGAGTGATGAATTGATAGTTTACCTGAAACACCCAGGAACCAGTCTCTGGTCTGTATTCCATAAACTTCGCTCCCAGTTTCATCGTTGCTCTTTCCAATTTATCCTCATACCCAATGGTCGAAAGTCTCTCAGGATCCTATAGAAATAACAATATAGTAAAATAATGTCTTAAATTAAGAATCTGCATGTAAATTGAGTTGAATGAAGAACACCATAAACAAATACAATATTATATCATTGAGTTGTCTATACAATACTTCGAATACACATCCACTTATATAAATTATTTCACTACTTGTATTTTATCACTATCATATTCACTTTTATTACTACCACCAACAAACATCATTAACATCACCTACTGTAAATATATCTATTTATGGTTGTTGTCTCATATTACTTCCTCTGAAGACCCTCCAATTAAAGATCACCTTCAATTAAAGACTTTTCTGTAGTTCGAAATTAACACAATTTTTTTTTTTAACCTTATTATTCTAATCAGCAATCCAGAAATCGTCTCTTGACCTAGATGTGTATAAGAGACAGTGGTTGAAGTGATGATGATGATGAAACGATAAAAAAAAAATTGATCAATCCGTGCATTTGGGAGGGGTTCAGGTTTTTAAGCCGGACACTCACTGCATCGTACGACCAACACACATTTGCATCCTCCGAGCGATAGACAACGCAACATCCTCTGCTGATTGTCAGTGGCAATCTGAACGGATCTCATTAAATAGACGATCCGTTGGGTCTGCGTCTTTGCTTGCGTTCTTCGTCATAATATAATCATATTAAATTAAGTCTAATGAAGCTAAAGTTGACATCAAACCTAAAGCTAAATAAATAGACTTTAAATTGAGTGTTTACTTTTAAGTAAATTCAATAAAAAAAAAATGTTATAAAAATATTAATAACTAACCAACTTCATCTATATTCAATCCTTGAACATTGGTTTTACCAGGGAAAAAGACGCTACCATAGCCCTCTCTACCAATTGTAAAATCCTCCACCATACATGCCCCGGTCTCTTCCATAATATCAGCAAGCTGATCTAGGGGAGGGATACAGTAATATCCAGGGCGTCTGAGAACGATACCGGCTGGATGGGGGGGTGGGGTATTCTCATCCTCCTGAGAGACAAGTAACGATGACTGGTCGAGATCTGACAATGAGCTTTGATCGGCTGTTTGGTTGTTGTTGTTTCTTGAGGATCGTACACCAAGATGGTGTATAGTGCAGTTGGGGTCCTCAGTGTCTTGGGGTCTGTAAGAAATAATAATAATAATAATAATAATAATAATAATAATAATAATAATAATAATAATAATAATATAACAAATACAACTATAAACAAGGAATATATATCTTTTGAAATTCCAGATGTCCAGATTATCAAACTTGATTTGACAAAACACTTGACATACCTAAATATGGTCATGATAACATCACATCATGACCATATATAGGCACATCATGACTATATATGGGCATACAACAGTTTTCTGACAAAGATAATTTGACAGTCTGGACAGACATTTAGGGTCACTTTCTCGTCGGCTTTCCTACTACTACTAATGTTGTGTTGCTATATTCCTACGACTACTAATTATTTGCTGGGCTAAAATGGATGAAACTAGAATCACATGGATACAAAACAAACCCATTTTTTGTTCCATCATACCTAGATAAAAACATTTTTGTTGATATTGATTCAACTATGAAAACAAACATACAGGCCCAAGTTAAGCTTGCTAGCTAGGTCAATCTAATTTGTTACCCCTATCTACTATACAAGAAGGCCAGTGACATGGAGTGTATTTTCAATTAGGATGAAAATATTTGCATAAGTTTTTGTCCAACATATTTTACTTCCGTATTTCAACATTCAACAACTCTCTAGACAGCAACTATTTGCTATAAGTTTGGGTCCTTTAAAACTTGTTTTTCACTTTAAGTTGATGAGTTTACAAATCCAAGGTAAACACTATACACAAACACAAAAAATTGCTGACGACTGTAGGCGTTTCAAAGAAAACTCTAAAATGGTAGGAACCGATAGGAATATAATGCAGTCTTTGTAAATAATGACGCATGTGTGGTGTTGCGTAAAGTGTAAGTTTATCGGACATTTAGTATTACCATGGTGGCCTCTACTATATATAGTTACAGAAACTATTGATAGAATAAGTGACAATATTAATACTGTCAACTTTTTCTATATATAATTTTAGATACTATTTTTATAATAGATAATTGTGTTATCATCAACTGATTTATTGCAATTTATTTCTTGAAAAGATGATCTATACGTAATTCGTATGCAACATGATGCTGTCTACTATTTTGTTTGTATTTACATGTCATGGGAAAAATGTTTTATTAGAGCTATAGTAACTAACAGCAAGGTGTTCTTAGAATTCTTTTTTTAGTGCACTCATCATCCATGTAAGTTTTGTTCTTCCTCTTGGCTAATTGTCTGTATTTTCAAAAGTTGTATACTTTCACAATGCATTGTAAATTATTATTTTAAAAAATGAACAAAAAAAAAGAGGAAGACACAGAAAATGAGAGTAATGCTAGACTATTTTGCATAATTCTGTTAATGTAGTGGTGATTAAATATAAGTTCTATAAAATTAACTTTTTTTTAAATGGTTTTTAACAGAAATGATTAAATGCAAATGCAGCCTCTGTTTATAAAATATAGAGAGCCAAATGGAAGAACAATAATAATATTGAGAATCAGGCCTGAAAAAATGTCCATGAAAATTGTCTTGATAAAGTGCATCCAGCACCAAATACCCAACGATTTATTTTGAATCATTTCCCCTAAAAATGCCTTATAATAACTTTATAAATTATTATTATTATTATTTTATAAAAATTATTTGTTTTTTATTCAACACATTGTATAAGCACCGGGATCCAAATTTTGAATGTATTATGTTGTATTGTTGACAATTAAATATCCTTGTTTCCTTGATGATAACAAAAATAATAAATAACAATAACAATACTGTACTATATATTAATGCTTGCGGTACACCACGTAGATAGTTCTGAAATGAACTGTTGTTCTTGGTTAAAAAAAAGAATATCTCAATATTTCGATTGAGATCTTTCAATCACCTTCAGGAGAGTAATATCTGTGCTTAATCTGAGCAGATGTTACACAAATAATATCCT